TAATTTGTGAATTATAAAGTGAATTATATACGTTGAAATGAATTTTGATTGTATATCTGATTAGATTGCATTTTGCAATGAAATTTTAAAGACATTTTAACAGAAGGATATGAAGAGCAATATTTGCATAAATAAAATAAAACAATACACTGAGAATTGACTTGTACCAATGGACTAACAACCTTAGAAAATTGTGATCTATTGCTACCTAAGTTTCAAATAGAAAACATCTACATAAGTCATCTGCTTTCAGTCATGAAATTTTTTGATTTCTGAAAGACAAGGAAGGTTTTAGCCTTGCTTCCAGGAACAGAAGGTTACACGACTGTGGGTTGTGTGTGTGTAAATATATGTCTGTGTCTGTTCCCTCCTTCCCCTCCCTGTAACTTGAACCTGCTGGCTGCTTTCAGACAAATTTGAGAAAGGGTCATAGGTCTCAATGGTATTAAGTTCCTACAAGTTCTGTGATAATAGCTGGGTAGGGATAAAGAGACCCCTGAAGTGCCCCAGCTAACAAAAAGGTGGCAGAGCTCTTGGATACCATTGTGTCCACTTAATGGAGACTCCTTACAAATTCTGATCTGTGATTATATTAAATGCCATCCAGTTTATGATTATGATTTTTCATTTACCACATGAATTGCTCAAAAAGGTAGGAAATCACTTTCACTTAGTTCTCGTAGTCACAGGAGTGTTTCATTCTGTGGTCAAAGCTCCATTGTAGCAAACTGTGGTGGGTCTGATGGAGAATTTGGCATTCAGTGTGTCACACAGTGAAGATGTCCTGACAAGGAAGAACACAAAATCTTCCCAGAATTACACGGAATTGACTTGTGGGGAAAACTACATGACTTGTCCCTCCATAAAAGACAAAATAGGCAGAACCCATGTAAAGTTTGTCAGGAAATTTAAATTGGGCTCAGTGAAGCTGGGATTAGGGAGAAAGGATTTCCTGCCATTTTATGTATGTAGCTTTTTTGATTGGATAAATTTAATTATGTATTTTGAGTGTGAAGAATGACAAAGCAAGATTTATATTGTTTAATTAAAATTGAAATATCTTTCAAAGTACTTTGAAAACAGTACATTGTTTTTAGCTCTTATTATAGATCACAAGTACAAGTAAAAATATTTTAAAATAGAGGAATTGTTTCAATTACGTGTGGAAAAATATTTTTGACTGGTTTTGGAGTTCAGAGTTGACTACAAAATTATGATCGTAAATGAGGAAAAAAGAAACCCCCTCATTTTAATATTTTGAGGTGCATTTATTCTTTTCAATTGGAACAGTTCAGACTTCTGAACTTCAGGAAGTTTGAAACTTGCTTTCTAAGAAGCATACTGAATTCTTCTGTGCTGCTCCTGATAGCTAACAGATAAGATTTGCTGTGCCAAATTCTCTTCCTGTGGGTGCAGTCTGTTGGAATTTAGCAAGCAGTGTCTTTTTCAAGGCACTAGAAGGAAAGCACTGAAGTATCTCATGTTTGTATTTCTGAGCAAATTAAGTTTCTGTAAGCAAGGTAAAAACTGTTGAGTATATGTAAATATTAAGACCAGCTCACACTAGATATCTTATACCAAATTGGTTTAATAGGTAATATAACAGAAATACTGGTAAGAAAGGGTAAGCTGTTCCTTAACCTTAAATATCGTGTCCCCCAAGTGCTTCAGGCATGTTGCTGTACCACATTACAAATCTAAACCACAACAATGAAGGACCTCAATTCCTGGACAGATGGAAATTCATATTTAAGCAGCAGTATAATCCCTTGAGACTTCTGTTTCTCCAATAGAGATGTGTTAGAGATAAGATAGGTAAAACTAAGACCAAACACTGTCCTAAAACATAGATGAGTTTATACTTTGATCTTCAGTAACACTGGTCTTGTTGCCAAGGATAACTTCTCTCTGCTATGTCTCCTGTTGCTTTTTTGAGTTCTATAGTTTTCAATTAGAATTTTCTACTTAATATCTTATTAATATCTTATTCTCTCATGCTGCTGGTCCAGAATGTTGCTCTTCATTAACTGGAACCACGTTGCTTTAAATGGATTACCTCGTTATCAGAATGAGATAAGCCTGCAAGACACCTTATGTCATTCAAAAATGATGGATAGAATATTACAAAACATGCATTGAGCCTCATTAAATAAAACAAATCACCACTTGCTAGTTAATATTTATAGGCCAGATCTCAGTGATAGCAATGTGAAGCTCCTTTTTCTGTTTCAAGTTAAAATTCCATACTGAGGTGAAGTCTGGAGGAGAAGAAAATATATTTACTAGATCAGCACATAATTTTAAAATAACTGGCAAGCTTTTGGTTAATGAGCTAAGCTTTCAAGGTATGTCAATAATTCTGGCAATTTGTGTAATAACATTAATTATGTGATATTTCTAATAAGAGTTTTGATCCAAAAAGCTCAGTGCCTGCTAAGTCAACCACATGTTTAAGTAAATATCTTGTATTTGAATGAATGAACTTGGCTTGCTATAAATTTGAATAATCATCACTGGTGGTGTGTTCCATGATTTATGTCTCTGTTAGAATGTACACTGCTAGATCAAGTCCTTGGAGAAGAGGAAGAAGATAAAAGGAGCTGTCTAGTATATGAAAAGCAAGAGGACTCTCATTTTGATGCCAAAGAAGGGACTGTAAGGAATGACACTTCCATACACCGCAGATGCAAACTGTATGAGGTCTGTATTGGACATGAAGGAACAAAAAATGTTAGCAAAGAAATACAAATAAGTAACTGTTTAGGAGACAAACAAGGGTTTTTTTCAAGTGATCCCAAAGATGGTCAGGTGAGGACAGAAGTGCAGTGATACCACTGGAGTGCATTGTAGATGGTTAGTGCATTGATAGCATTGCAGGTATCAAGGCCTGTGTGAGGGCAGTCTGGGGGTCAAATGACTCGTAAAAAGGCTGGGAGGAAAATGCTATTTACCACGAGTAAAGGTCTCTAGGTCAGACCATAAATGTGCCAGTTAGGAAAAGGAAAGTATTTCTGCTTTGATTGTACTTAGATGAAGACTGGTTTGTGTCCAGGAGGAGCTACCCCTAAAAAAGAAAGAAACAGACCTGTGAGATATGGGAAAGAATGCTTTCACTAAACAAAATTGTGAGCAGAAATAATTCAGTCCAGAAGAAAAATAAAAAAAATGGTATAGCATTCAGCAAAAGCCTTGTTGCAATTATGGCGAGGACAATTTTAGGGACCCTATAAAGCATCAAACACATGTAGTAAGTAGGGAAAGAAGCAGTGTGCAGAGTCAGAAAAGCTATGTAAACTGAGTTGATAAAGAATGATCCAAAGGTCCAAAACTAGCTGATAAATTGAAAAAGACAGAAAAGGAAGCAAGACCTTTGGATTTAGCCACAAGCCAATCATTAATTTTTTTAGAAGGTCAATGTGAGTAAAGTGACCTTAGCAAAATCAACTGAATCTAATAACAAGCTTTTGAGCAGAACTAGCATAAACTTAGGGCTTGAGGTTTTTAAAAAAGAGATGACTGGTAACTAGGAATTAGATAGCATCAAGAAAATTCCTTTTGAAATTTAAAAAGAATAATCCTTTTATACTTTTTGGTACAAGAACAGTGTTTGATGTAATTATGTTACAAATGGCTCCTAGAAAACTGAGTGAGTTATGAGAAGGTTCCGCAGTCATATGAAACTGGGTAACATGTTCTTGGTATCATGCTAACTAAAATAATTAACTTTTCTCCAAGAACTATGTAAATTCACAGAAAACTTGTACCGTGCTATTTGTCCTGGGAAGGTGTAGTGTTTACCCATGTCAAAAAGGCAAACTGCTGAATGAATAATTACTTAGTAGAATAAAACTTGCTTACTCGTATTATCTAAGGCATGTAAAAGCTGTGGCTGATTTGCTGTATTCTAAACATTCTATTATGTTTTAATATATGTTACTACTAGTGATGTTTATCTTTTTCTGCTGTAGGTATGTCTGCTGAGTTCACTAGCACTGCCTGTGATCCTGCACATACAAGTAATGTTAAATATTGTGTCTGTTCACAGCCGTGCCCCACTGTACCAGCTCCGGAGAGCTGGAGGAGTATTGAACTGCTTGGATCCACTGCTTGGGTGACAAAGGCAGAAGCAAAAATCACGTTCAAAGAAAGATGCAGATTTTTTACAGCTTTAAACAGAATAACTCGGATAAAAGTAATTTTTGCTATGTCTGTTTTTTACTTTTGTAAGGCAAAACCAGATGATTTAAAAGTGAACTTAAGTACAAAGCTAAGAAAGTGCAGAATAGCACAATCAGGCTAAGAGGAACACACTAAACATGAGTAGAGCTGGTAGCAAACATATTTCTCCTTGTAGACAGTTTCTGTTGAGTAGAAGTATTTCTGAAGATCTGTTTGTTGATTTTATCAGGGAGAGATTTTTGCAGGGAAACCTAAGTATAGGTCTATGAGGAGCTAACTGGTTTAAGGTTTTAAGTTGACTTCTCATTGTATTTACAATAAAGATTTTGAGAAGCTGGAATTTGAAATATTTTAGGATATTCTTGAAACAGCCCCTCAATAATTAAAGAGTTAAAATATTTCTAGGTGAATCACAAACTCTTTAGGTTGTGTAGTCTAAAAATCTGAATTCTCGACACATGGAATTTTTGGTAAAATGGAACCTGTTTACTACCAGTTTAATGAAGAACACGCATATTTGACGACTAAAAATGGCTGAAATACTTCGGTACGCTTTTTAGAGAAGCATTTTTAACGTGATTGGAAATCTCCAGAGGCAGATTTGCTGCTGAAGAGCCCTTCGTGGAAATGAAATCCCTGACGGCAGCTGCGGGTGGGCGGGCGGTGCCCCCCCGACGGGCTCCGCTCCCCGCGGCCCCCGGGCGGGGCTGGACGGGCCCCATAAAGGCGGCGGGGCGGGCGCGGGGCGCAGTCCCGGGGGCGGGCGCGGAGCCGAGCCGTGCCGTGCCGTGCCGTGCCGTGCCGTGCCGTGCCGTGCCGTGCCGTGCCGTGCCGTCCTGTCCTGTGCTGTCCTGCCAGCAGAGATGCTGCGAGTGCGGTGCTTGCGCGGAGGAAGCCGCGGAGCCGAAGCGGCGCATTACATCGGCTCACGGGTTGGTGCCGCCGCGCTGGGGGCTGGTGGGGTTGAGGATGCTCCGTGGGGACGGGGTCCTGTGTGGCCACTTAGTCGGGGCTCTCTGAGCGGTGGCAAGAGGGTGCGGGACGGCTGCGGGCTCCTCTGACTGAGGCTCGCCCAGCATCCACCCGGCTCAGCAGCGCAGAGTTCAGTGACTCCAGTCGCCACTGTCAGAGCTGTGCTTCTATGTCATTACCCTTCTAAACTGAGTGCATTTTAAAAGGCGAAATGTCCTTTAAGCATCTAGTAGGCTGTGAATAAGTTAGAATGGCTGCAACAAGCTGTGCTTTTGTTAGTGCTCCAAATAGGGTATGTTCCTTTGGGATTACAGTGTTAAGGCACTTGTGGGCTGAACCATCACTTTTTGCCTTTTGTAAGGGAAGAATAATTTTCATTCTTGTTTTTATTTTAAGCTGCAAAGAGTCTTTACAGGATGGGTGCAGCGAACTTTCCAGAGCACCCAGGCAGCCACGGCCTCCCAGAACACCTGTGCTGCTGATGACAAGGCCACCAGCCCTGTGCCTAAAGACTGTCTTGTTTGCTCATACAATGAATGGGACCCACTGGAAGAGGTCATTGTGGGAAGAGCTGAAAATGCTTGCGTCCCACCTTTTTCTGTGGAGGTTAAGGTAAGCAATAAAAAAAAATACCCTTAAATGGAAAATAATGTGGGTTTTATACATACAATTTGCTTAAGTGTAGAAGGTATGATGTTTACTCTTGAGGATTCTTATTTCAAAGTAGTTGTTTATATCTGTGAAACTTTGCAGTATAGCCATGTTGGTGAGGGATGTGCTTTTTCTTTTCACTTTCAACTGAGTGAGCTGTTTTAACAGAAGTCACTAATAGAGAGAATCTCTAATATGTGCAATTTGCTCTAGTTATATAGCCCTGATGCTATCAAAGTATACACACTAGCTTTTGAGGTAGTGAAACTTTAATTTGGCTTGAAACTAAGTAGGGTTACCACTTTAAAAAAAGTGTAATTTTCTACTTAATAGTCTGAGAAAAATTGAATTCTATAGCTGTGGACTAGTGGGACTACTGTATTAAATAGCTCTGAAGTAGCTCACTGCAACTCCTGTGTACTACAGCCAGTATTGCATGGAAATACATACTCTTCTGTTTTTCAAGATTTTTTCTGTGCCTAAAACTGCAATAGCAACCTAAATAAATCTGTGTTTCTGTGAAGTCTTGTATTTTAAACAGTAACACTCAAACAATGGGCTTGCTTCAGATTTTTGAGTACTTTACCTGGACTTCAAAGCTGCTGTATATGTGTGTTACCTGCATTTGAGGGATGCTCTTGAATCATTCTCTTTCATTGTTACGCCACAGTACTGTCTCCAGGGAAGCATGTAATCCATGGCTATCACAGCAAAAGGAGCTGGGGCAATATTTCTGCCAATGGCAAACAAAGATACCGAAAATATGTTTAAAGTGCTGGAAATAGTCATCTCGGAGAAGTTTGAGATATACTAGTGGAGAAGACTTCTCTTAGCCCTTTTTATGTTTGTATTTCTTTTTTTTTTTTTTTTTTTTTTTTTTTTTTTTTTTTTTTTTTTTTTTTAGAATCTGGGCTATGATTCTGGGCAGAAGGGGTTGGAGGAGTGTGAATGAATTTCTGCAGCCTGTTAGTTCTAATGCCCAGACAGCAGAGTAATCATTTGACTTACATTGGGACATTTGAGATGACATCTTGTGCCAGTGAGCACAATGAAAGCTTTGCTACTGACTTCATTATGACTTTTATTTACTTCTTGAAAGCTGCAGCTCAGTTACCAATCTCTGGAATCCTCTTTCAGACACTCCAAAGATATTCTATCCGCTTCAGTGAAAGAAGTGAATGAGTGTTAGCATTTCTAATATACAAGTGTATGTAGATGCATCTATATAAGACTGCCATAATGAATGCACAGGAGGAGTAAGGAAAAAAATGTCTAACTTTTTTACATTGTGACATTCAGTGAAGCAAAATTCTGTTCTTGAGTGGGGGCCAAGGGCTTGCTTTAGTTCCAGAAAAAATAGTTCAAATGTCTAACTTGCTGAAGTGTAACATGGTATACAGGTTTTACTGCCTATGAAGCCATAACTACTCACATGAGATCAGAACTTCACTTTCTCATACGTGTGATATCAAAAGCTCAATGAGGAATGTCAAAGGATAGGATTACCTCTGCAATTCCAATACCTTAACCTTAGGGTTAAAGCATGCTTTAGCTTTGCTTTATGTCAACTGCCAAGCCCACAACAGGTACTGGGAACAGACCATGCCAGCTGAGATGTGGTTTCCTCTCATTTTCTCTGCTTTTGTTGTAAATTTTGCTGTAGAAACTGCAACACTAACTTTACCTGGGGGATGTTGCTGAGAAATTCAAACAGTAGTTTGGTCCTACCTTGACTATTACTATTAATTAATAGATTAATTATTGTTCAAATCTCCATGTGGCTGACAGGTAAGGGGTGTGTGTATGTGTTGCTCCAGTGTAATACCATAGCCAGAAATCCCTGTTCCTGCCCCTGTAAGTAGCAATAGTAGGGTTCATGTGTTTCACATGCCATCTGCCAAGTATGCATGAGGGTCACTGGTTATAAAAACTGCAGTTTGAAACTAATGAATTTGGTTCTTATAAGGAAAATTTGAAGCTTTGAACCTGAGACACTTTAAAAAATATATCTCAAATCATAAGAGTTTGGTGAATGCTTGTGTTGAGGTTGAGTTTTAAGATTGTATGCAGGTTTATCTACCAAATATTTAAATGCAGGAAGTATGTCTGCATTCAGCATTCTTGTACTTTGAGACATGGTTTTGGTATACACAAATCCTTTTGCTGTGATGTGGGACTGCTGTGCTTGGCATAAGAAGGAGGAAGGAAGGAATTGAATGGAGAGCCCTGCATATCTGGTGAATATTAATGAGCTGACACTTCATTGCATATCCTTTTCAGGGTTTGAAATAGACTATGTAGGTTATGTAGAGGTAAATACACTATTTGGAAACATGGGGAATCTTAACAAGGAGGTGAACAACTGCATTAATTAGGAAGATGTCCTTTTTTGAAATAGCACTTTAGTGAAAAATCTCACAATTGAGACTTCTGAAGTCTTTTGAAGCAGTTAACACTTAGTGAAGCAGTTGAACTTTATAGCTTTGTACTCTCAATACTTTTCAGTATATTTAGTGAATAATAATGCATTTTTGGTGAAGAGGCATTATTATTACAGGTCACTATATCCTGAGTGAGAATATGGGAGTGTGTGCTTACTACTGAATTAGGCAAAAAGACTTCTGATTTGAATTTCTGTTTCAATGCCCTTAATTTAATAATTGTCATTACTAGTTTTAAGGTACATCTTGATAATGTTAATTATTTTCCACAAAAAATATTTAAAATATATAGCAACTCTTGGGAGCAATTCTGTTTCTTATAGACAATCTTTCCTTACAGCATTGCTTGAATTGCTCTCTGAAAAGAGTGAGTTTGTCTCAAAAGTTGCTGCAGTGTCTCAGGTGCTCTCAGACAGTAGGTTATAAGGTGCATTGAGGAGATCATCTAAAGTTCTTTTCTGTGTCCTGGCCATGGTACCTTTTGAAGAGTCTGAACTGACTTGTATGTATATAATCAAAGGAGCCTGAAATCTCAACCCTGATTTGGTATGAAATACATCTCCCAGCCATACACCCTTTTCCCAGATATTCCGAAAGTAGGGAATATGAGTGGTGTTACTCTGTTGTAACTTCAAGATTATGCCATTGTATTAGTGCAACACAAGTGTGGTTTCTCAGGTTTGAAAAAAAGCAGTACTAGAAGACACACATAAAGAGAGGAGCTGCACCTCTCGGGGATGATGATATTCACATACATGATGGCTGGCTCTGAAAATAGCTTGCTTCACTCCATAGGACAAATTTATCTCATTAGCAGAACATGTTTCCATAGGAATGCTGAGCACTTCATGTGATCTCCACGTGACTTCTGACCAGCTGGCAAGTTTGAGGTGATCAACTTACCCAAGACCTCACTTATAGAAAAAGAATAAATTCCTTCAGGAGGGAAGGGAAGAAGCTTCAGTATTGGAGGAGCAGGATGCCCATTCTGGGGCTCTCTGTGTAAATGTTAAGGTTGAATCTTCTTTCTTCTCTCTCACTTGTGTAACATGAGGGCAAATATCCAGAAATAGTAGAGAATAGAGTGGATAGCCTGGATTGTTAAAGGGGAACAGACATGCCTTCAGATGAATGGCCCTGCCTGCCCAGGCAGGTTAGCACTGGCAGTGCTAACACAAAAGGAACTTTATTGTATGGTTTTTGTTGGGAACATCACTCTCTGGGAGGTATCAGGACTGCAGTGTCAGGAGAGAACCTCATGTTTGGAGGGACAGGTTCTTCTGCACCCCATTGCTGTCCTTCATGCTGCTTGGATAGGATGGACTCTGGCAAAAAGAAGGCCTCACCACTTGCTTACCTGTTCCTGACTCCTGCTGTCATTCCAGAAGGGCTCCTTGCACTTGCATTTCTGCTAACACTGACATGATAGAGGAACATTGGATACATTGAACTGAAGCAGCATCATTTGTTTTGATTGTATGTCTGGATTTTCTTACCCATGAGAACTGTGGACATTATTTTGAATTTGTTTTTAATTTGAGAAGACTATCACAGGATTTCAGCAGAGGATTTAGGCCTGTAAATGTTGTACTTGCTTTAATCCAACCCTGACAGGTGAATTTAGTATCTTTGGCACCTTCTAGACTGCTGCTGTACCTGAAGTATGGCTCCTTCTAGCCAACAAGGCATGTTACCTGTACTTGAGATGGCTTTAGAATTCCTGATGTCACCATTGTGTCAGTACTGAAGGGAGGTTTTAACAAGGCAACTGCAGATGTTTGCATTTTGGAGATGAACTCAAGGTTGGTTTAATATAAAAACATATCTGAAAGGCCTTATTTAATAGCAGAGTCCTGTTTGTACAGGTGTGCGCTGTGATAAGGACCAAATCTTTCATGGCCACTTGGCAATATTAGTCACTAAATACTAACTGAAGTGTAATGTAGTCTCTTGGTTTTCATCTGTGGCTTAATAATAAGGCTTTCTGTAGGGATATGGCTAAAGAGAGGAAGAAATATTTATTACATTATTTAGAATAGTTTTCCCATCAATAGAAACAAGTAGCTTAACTTACTGATCCATCTATATCCAAAAATAGAGGAAATGGAAGAGGAAATGAAATGTCTTGAAAATCCTGCCTAAAAGTCAAATTAAATGTGCAGGTGGAAATCAAACGTGTACTCACTTCTTCATATTCTGGAATGGGTTTCCCTTTTTTCCTGCTGTTCCTCAGAGGACTTTTTTTTCTTGGGCATCATGCTGCATGTGCAGTCCATTAGCAGTATTGAAGCAATCTGCTGGTTCAATGAGCCCGCTCAGCACACACAGCTCATACTTTGTCACTGTATATAAGTATTTGTGAAGACATCAGCCCCTCACAACTAGTCTGACACCTGCACTTACATGAGTTTAGTGACTGGACACAACCACACAGTGAAACCTTGCTGATGGCATGTATAAATAGAAAAATAGAAGTTGTTAAGATAAAAAATAAAGACGGTAGAGGGCTAGAATAAGGATTCTCAACCAGGCAATAATTGAAAATTTACAAAATATTCACACTTCTCCCTTCCTTTTTTTTTTTTTTCCCCTGCCCCCTCCTTTCCTTTTATTTTAAAAGAATCAGCAGGACATGAACAATTCTTAGGAACTCTTCAAAATATTGCAAGAATCAGATGTAAGGCACACTCCAACATGTTAGGGTCAAGAGCAAGAAAATTTGAACAGTAAGAATTGTGTCTTGGGCATCTATTTTGCTCCAAAATAACTGGTGCTTATTCTTTGTCACTTACATGTCCTTTTGTTTTAGGCCAACACGTATGAGAAGTATTGGGGATTTTATCAGAAATTTGGAGGCCAGAGTTTCCCCAAAGACCATTTAAAAAAAGCTATTGCTGAAATTGAAGAGATGTGCAATATTTTGAAAGGAGAAGGTGTTATTGTCAAGAGGCCCGATCCAATTGACTGGTCTGTGAAGTATAAAACACCTGATTTTGAGTCTACAGGTAAATATTCTTCAATTGTTGAAGGTCTTGTTTGTTTAGCCCTTGCCTGAGACATTTTGGATGTCATCTTGTCTGCCTTCTTGCTAGGAGCAGGATTGTTGCCAGCATTAAGTGAGATCAGCGATGACTTTGTGTAGCTATGACTTGAAAGATCTGCAGGGATGGAGATTGTTCCTCCTGGTTTGCTGACCTGCCTCAGCGCTGCATGGATTTCCAGATGACAGAAATCTGCCTGATAACTAACCTGAACTCCCCCACCAGCATCTGCTGCCAGATTCCCTTTCTATGTTGTCACTGCCACTGCCAAGAAGTGTTCATCTGTCATGTTTAATGGCCCTCAAAGTAGCTGTAAACTGGTACTGCTTTGTCCCCAACTTGCCACATGACAGGTCAAATGCTATAAGACCTCTCGCTGTCTTGGTAGCTCTTCACTGGATCCTAGAGTTGGATCTATCTTAAACTATAGAGGCCAAAATAGTTGGAGGCAACAGTTTTCCAGGGACACCCTTGCTGGTATCAAGGAAATCTGAATGTCTCTTTACCTACTGTCCACATTCCTCCATGTGTAGCACCACATGGCTTTGGTTGTCTGCAGTGAGAGCACACTGGCTCATACTCAGCTTTCCAGGTGTAGTCCTCAGGCTCCTTTCACGTCAAATGTGTTGCTAAGTTGTTCTAGGGGAATTAAAATTAATTAGGGAACAGATAATGTTAATGAAAAGTGTAATGAGAGTACTTCCTGCATAGGTTCTGGGTTCCATCAAATTCCTCTTTGGTACTACTACTTTTTAACAGGATTGTATATAAAGAAATGATATTCACTTGGAAAATTTGCTACCCATCATCACCTTTTAAAGTCATCTGGGTAAATCATAAGCATTTGTCTAGTTAATTTTCATTAACCAAATTACGCAGTGGAAGCTTGATGGTGGATGGCTTTCTTCTAGCTGTGACTTTGTTGTGAGTGAGGTTTTGTGGCAAAAGTTGTGCATGTATTTTGAACAGAAAAATGTCACTTTGAAAAATTACTGAAGGATGTAAGCACCCAATATTATATGCTGGTTTCCTGACTTTGCTAATGATGATTTTTGCCATTATTTTGAGTAGAAGTAATGGTAAAAAGGAGGGTAAAAAGTGAATAAGCTGAAAGAGCTGAGAAAAGCATAATTTTCTCATAAGTTAATGGCCATTTCCCTTTCAGGTATGTATGGTGCCATGCCAAGAGACATCCTGTTAGTAGTAGGAAATGAAATTATTGAAGCACCTATGGCTTGGCGTGCTCGGTTCTTTGAGTACAGGGCATATAGACGACTAATCAAAGATTATTTCAACAGTGGTGCTAAGTGGACAACTGCCCCTAAACCCACAATGGCAGATGAACTCTATGATCAGGTACTGCTCTAATTTTCCTTTAGAACTTCAGTTCTCATTATACAGAATTTTGTTGATAATTTCAACCTGAGGTTTCACAATACTGGGGGAGGGGAATGGCACAACTCTGGAGATTTGTGGTTTTTTCTAGTGTTTGCAAACATGCTGTAGTCTTTCCAGCTGAAACTAAGTGTGTGCAATTAGGGAATAAGGAACAGGAAGTTGTGTCTATTGAATTCTTCTGCTTTGAATTGTTTTGGTTACGGGCTGTAACTGAGCATTACTAAGGAGGAAGGAACGCTAAAAACACATCACAGAGACTACTTTAAAGAATTAAGATTCCCTGAGAATGTCCATATATCCTGAGTGCAGGAAAGTGGAAAATAATACATATTTTGTCACAGAAAAAACCCAACTCATAATACTTGTTTTGCATGATGAGTATTTTGAAAGTTACATAAAAGAAATAGTGGAGGATCTAAACTGTATTTACCTTCCAAATTTTTAAGTGAATAGTATCTTAATCTTCCTAATAATTTTTACTTGGACAATTTTGGTAGCTTCCTATAGGTCCCCAAAAGCATTGGGACCTTGGTAATAGCATTTACAATAAATGCAGTAAACTAGTTGTGGAATGATTATGGCTTTCTGGGAACAGTGACATCGATGACACAAAGAAGTCTTTGTTATAAAAAATTACCTTAATCTGTCAGAATTAGAAAACTTCCAGAGCTTGTTCTAAAGCACAGAAACCACTTAGTTGGGATTCTTTATTTGTGTTGGGTTTTACACCCCACTTGTTCTTAATTGCCTTGTTTCATTTTAAAATTATTTGAAATAATGAAGATCTGCCTTCTAGTTTGAAGTACTGTTCCATTTTAAAATGTAGACAAGCAGGGAGCCCACTTTTGTTAGGAATAGCTTGCATCCCAGTATCGTGGTCCCTGTGCAGGGATGGGTTGGACTGATAGTTAAACTCCACTGGTAATGAACCTTTAGATCCAGAAGCTGGAATATTATCAAGACAGTGGTTCTGAAGAGCAATTCATTTCTTGGTATAACTATTGTCTCTTATCAGCTGGTCTTGAATGTGCTTAAAACCTTTCCCTTACACATCCACGTTTAGGCTTTCCTTTTTTATTCTATAACAAGTAAATAAAAACTCCTCCAAGGAACATACTAGATATCAATATTAACACATTTTCTTAATGTCAAAATATTCTTCAGTAGCAAATAATTTAAAAACTTTCCCTTAACCTCTCCAACCTAAAGTTGTTATTACTTTTTCTACAACTAGAATTATCCAATCCACTCCGTTGAAGACAGGCATAAACTGGCTGCTCAGGGAAAATTTGTAACTACTGAATTTGAGCCATGCTTTGATGCCGCTGACTTCATTAGAGCTGGAAGAGATATCTTTGTACAAAGGAGCCAGGTAAACAAAGCTTTCTTTCAATGGTTTTGCTATCTATCTTAGTGATTGATACTTTGTATCTTTTTAAATTCCTGAGCAGCATTAAAATAAGAGTGTTGACAGAAGAAATTTCTATTCATAGAATGTTTGATATACAGGGTAAGACTGTCTTCCAGCTAAGGGGTTAGCTAAAGGCACAAACTTCTCTATTATTTTGGCTTTGAATATTTGATTAAATAAAACCTTAGACAAACTGAACTTGGATGCAGCTTATAGTCCAGCCTAGTGAAACTTACTTTGTCCTGTTTTCAGGTTACAAACTATATGGGTATTGAATGGATGAGGCGACATCTTGCACCAGACTACAGAGTGCATATAATATCCTTTAAGGATCCTAACCCTATGCACATTGATGCCACTTTTAACATCATTGGACCTGGTCTTGTGCTCTCTAACCCAGACCGTCCCTGCCACCAGGTAAGACTATAGAAGAGGAGAAAGTGTTTTGTGTTTAAAAAGGACTCAGCTGGATTAGTTCCCTCCTGGGTAATTACTCTTCCACACGTTTATTTTATATACACTTGAATAATATTAAATTATTGAATTTAAATAGAACCCAGGCAGTTGTTCAGGAACTTATAGGTGTATTTGGATCTTGACTCCAGAACTTTCTCAGCAGTGCAATGACCATTGTTCTTCCTCAGTTTTCTTCTGCAACTCTTTGTGCTTTCTTAGTGCGAATGTAAGTGGATTTGTTCTGTGTTTCTTTCTATGTCCATGGTTAAATATGATGGCAGTAATCAAATTTGTAATAATGTATCAAAGCGAGTCCCTAGGATATACTACTTCTCCAAACACTTTCATTACTTAAATACTTTAACTGAATCCAAGGAGAAAATGAGGGTTTCTGCTACTCAGAGTGATCTCCCTTCTCATTCCTGTTTTGGAAGCCTCTCCTTTAGTGTTGTTTGAACCAATGGCAGAAAGCTGGTGGTGGCTCAGACATTCAGCTTTGAATAACTGAGCAAGAAATACATTCTGCAGAGTAGGAAAAAGGAGAGATACGTAAAACCTGCTACTACACTTTGAGAAAAAGCTACTATTGCTGAAGAGCACAATCAGAAGAGAAAGCCTTCCAGAGAGTAAGAGCTCGTCTCTGGGACAGTCATGTTACCTGCAGTGAAGTGCTTGAGGATTTTTGTGAGGATCCCCATGACTTCAGGAGCTGTACAACCACATGGGAATAGCTGAGCTGATCCTGAATTGGTGGGATAGAGCTGTGTGCTGCAGAGATTACGGAGCCATGTGCAGAGCACAGCTCTTGGAAGCAGTGTTAGTCTCTTCTCAGCAAGTGGGTTCAATGCAAATGGTCTAATTGAATTACCATCTCTTTTAATATCTATTCTGAGAATATAATTTTTAAAACAATCATAGTTTTTTTCCCCTCCCCTTTTCCTTTCCATTGCTTTTTTTTGTAATCTTACTTGCAAGAGGAGGTTCTTAGCGTTCCTGTGTTAAACTCATGTGCTGGGACTTTTTTCACAGAAAATGTCTGTCTGTGTAGATAGAAAAGATAAATGCAGCTTGCTTTCATAAAAGCTGACTTGGCAGTTCTGGATGACCAGGAAGCGGTGGGGGGGTGTGTGAATGGTGTGGATGAAAGGGA